GGAAGTCCATCGGTACAACCGAGCTTGTTTGCATCTGACACTCCATCGCTAAAGCCGAGTGTGGTTCCTTCTTTTGCCCCGTCAATGAACCCATCGCAGCCATGCTTTGAAAGCGACGGTGAGCTTGGTAGTGAAGTCGAGAACTGGTTTGGTACCGAATTGCAAAAGACATCAGCCGAAAACACCTATGGCCCTATCGGGGGTTGGTGTTTTGGTCCAGGTGTCACCAGTATGGAGTTTCTCTTCGCAAAGAAATACACTTTCAATGAAGACATTTCGAACTGGGATGTTTCTTCTGTCACTGCAATGAAGTCAATGTTTTATTTTGCATCATCCTTCAATCAAGACTTGTCATCATGGGATGTTTCTTCTGTGACGGATATGGCTAGGATGTTCAGAAATGCAACAGCTTTCAATGGAGACATGTCATCATGGGATGTCTCTTCTGTAGCCAGCATGAATGGAATGTTCAGAGACGCACCATCTTTCAATCAAGAATTGTCATCCTGGGATGTTTCAGATGTAACAACAATGCAGCACATGTTCAACTCTGCATCATCATTCAATCAAGACTTGTCATCTTGGGATGTTTCTTCCGTTACAAACATGAATTACATGTTTGCCCATGCATCATCTTTCAATCAAGACTTGTCATCTTGGAAGGTTGTTTCTGTGACAACAATGAGAGCGATGTTTGAACAAGCATCATCTTTCAATCAAAATCTTTGTGCGTGGGTCTCACGCCTACCGAGCTATGCCTACGTTGACTTCGCGTTTTATGGCGCCGCCAGCTGCCAATCAGAGTCCAATCCAAACCTCTTTGCGACTACAACAGGGCTACCAGTAGGTCCATTATGTCATTTCTGCATCTAATGTCATTGTTTAAATCAATAGAGTACCTCCTTCTTGTACTTATTATAGAGACATCGGTGATGACTAAAACGTCATCTTCCTACATGTTCATCGATCATCGTTGCACTCTTGCGATCATCATCAATAACAACATCATCAAATACAACATACAAGAGCAACATACCGTGTCCAATGCATATACCTCCTGAAAGTGAAGGATTATAATGATAATAAATCTTCAGGTTATTGATCCTGAAGATTTTCTAAAAATTCGGTTCGAACAAATCAAACATTCCGTTGACTAGTTGGAATAAATCATCACCAACGAACGAGATCGAGAGCGACGATGACCTTTTATCCCACAAGATTGGTTGTTGTGATGACTGTTGAATTCTATAGAATTCCAACCTTCACCACCGTGCACACTTTATCATATCATAGAATCATACATATATACAGACAG